TTGAACTACAATTTTTGAGGTAAGTTGATTTTAATATAATCAGTTACATAATTTGTTTGTTTTGCAAGTTATTTTTCACTTTAAATATACATACATACTAAAAGATATAAATTTAAATATTTAAAATTTAAAAATAAAAATAAATATTTTATTCATCTAAAAATAATTTAAGACCCATCTAAAAATTTTGTCTCAGCCTCAAGAATTCCGGGTCATCCCTGACTGCACTCTTATGCTCCGTTTGGTAGGAATGATGAAAGTATGAATGATGCAATGATGCACTTGAAGGATGGAAAGTAGGAAGAACACATTTTCCTTCCTTTGTGTTTGGTTGAATGAATGGAAAATAAATATAACTATTTTTTTTTGTGCTGTCTAAGATTAGGGGTGACAATAGAGTCGAATCGTGTCGTGTCAGATTCGTGTTGAATCAGTACGAGTTTGTGTCGAATATTAGTCAAACATAACTTAACTCATTTAATTAAATGTGTTGTGTCGAGTTACGAGTTGACCTATTTATTTTCGTAACAAATTTGAGTCGTGTCATCGTTTTGAGTCTAAAATTTTCACCTTAGTTAAGATGGAAAAAATATATTTTTTTTAACTTAAATTTTTAAAATTTTAAATTTTAAATTTTTTAAAATTTTAAATTTTAAATTTTTTTAAATTTAATTTTTAAAATTTTTTAAAATATATATACATATTTTACCATTGTATTTTTATATAAAATTAATGTATACATAAGATATATAGATAAATAAGATACATCTCAACACAAATAATTAACTTTTCATCCACTTTCTTTTTGATTTTGAAGGGATTGATTTTGGTGAGTTGGAATAAAAGTTAATTCATCCACTTTTCCATCCTTCCTACTTTACTTCCTTACCAAACATGACATTTTATTTATTTCTCAAACTTTTCATCCTCCCACTTTTTCATCGTATCAAACGAAGCATTAAAAAAATGAAAATCTCTCTCTCTCTCTCTCATATTCCCTACTTAAAAACTGCATAATCTCATATCCCTCATCCTTTCTCTTTTCACAAACTTCAAACAAAGCTTCGTAGCTAGTCAAAACTGCCCCCAACCCCCTCTCTCTCAACTCATATGAATCTTCCTAATAATGTTTGAAAACAACCACACGTTTTGAGTGGTGAGAGCCTTTCGTTATCTAGTTTTTAAGACTTTTATGTCCTCTTTGACTTTATTGATTTCTATTGTTAGATTTTTAATCGTATTAGGCCATGCTTCCTTTATATGGAGTGAGCTATCACTCATGTCCTCTTTATTTCTATTAAGGACTTCCTTTAATGAATACGGTTGAGACAGATTATGTCTTTTTTCTTTTGGATTTATCTCTAAATATTGTTCAATAGCTTTTCTTTTGAATTCTGGATCCTAAATTTTATCGATAAGGTCTAGAATAAAATTTTTTGACTTAGTTAAAGTATTTATACTTAATCCATTCAGAGCTATAATAGCTTTATAATAATCATTTTCAGTTTTACAATGTAAAGAACAAGTTTTATCTTGTTTTAAAGATTCTGTTCCTGAAGAAGCATTACTAATTTCATTAATATTGTAGTCTTCGGAAAAGTTATCAGAATTATCATCTAACTCACTTTCGGAGTTTAAAAACAATTTTAAATATTTTTTCTTTAGAAGATAAAACTTTATCAATTGAAGATTTATTGTTTTCTTTATTTATGTCTTTAAGACATTCAATGATTTTTGGGACTTCAATTTTATTTTTAACCTTATTGGTTTCAATTAAAGTGGTTTGACCTTTAAGGTTCAAAAGCTTAGCTTCAAGACATAAAATATTCATAATTTTGTAATAGACCCTATAAGTAAACACAATTATATCTATGCCTTCTTTATAATTATAACCATGAGGTTTTATATGATATGTTAAAACATCCAAAATATTTTTATCAATTAAAGATACAGATAGATTTGAAAAACAGTTAAAATAAACTGAACCAGTACCTAAGCTGGATTGCATAATACTCATTAAAGGCTGATCAAAATTAAGACATCTATGATTTCTGGTTCTTTAGGAACCACATACTCCAATTGTTAGGTGTCAAAAAACAATGGGGATTCTCCTTTTTAATTAGTTCTTTAAGAACTTTCACAGGATTTAAATTAGTTCCAATATTTATACTGGTAGAGGGAACCATTGATGTAGAAGATGAAACTTTATCAATTGAAAATTTATCTTCTTCTTTAAGACATTCTTCAATAGTCTGACATTTAGCGTCAGTATTATAATTATTCTAGAAACGAGCTTGATATGCTCTGATTAACCTAGGGTGTCCGTTATGATTATAATCATAAGTCAAAGTCCACGCCCAAATCCATGGAATAAAGAATTCAAACGAGAAATTTATAATTGGCTTAGTTGCTATATCATTGTCCTTTAAGGACGGACTTTTGTTTTTATACAAATCAAATAATTTCTTTAGTTTTTCAAGGTATATGCTATCAATAGCACCATGAATTTCTCAACAATCATAAAACTAGTTCAGAATTTTCGTACAAGTTTCAGTGAATTGGAAGAACCATGTATGCTTTAAATTTATAGCTTCATATAAAAAAACATTATTCCATGCATCAATATAATAAAAATAGTTATACTCTGTATATGAAGTTTTTCTTAATGTTCTGGGGATAGTGAGATTAAGACCCCATTTTTTAGCAGGAATTACCCTAATATGAGAGCTTTACTATATTGAGGATCTTTATAGTCCTTATTATAATTATAAAATCTCTAGAATTTAACAGAGTCAATTTCAATTAAAATATTTTCATAATATTCTCTATCTTTATTTTTAGAGTATAAAAAGGCATTATCCAAGGTCATAAGCTTTCCAGCAATATAATATAGATCAATTAGCCAATTTTCATATTCATAGTCAAGAGTTATTATAATGCTATAAGCAAACAAAGTGTATAACTCTGTATAATTTAGCTTGGGCTTAGCTATAAGAGCTTCTTTAATAAATTTTTTTAGATCGGACGACAGTATAACTGTCATTATCTTTATTGTCATTTTTATGTGAAGACGAATCACTTTTATGTGATGAAGATTCACTTTTATGTGAAAGGCCTTCTTTAAGAAGTTGATTATTAATAGCTTTAAGCTTACTGGACTCTATTCATGAGAACCCGGCAAAAATTCCTCAATTAGAAAATCAGGAAGAGAATTTAATTCTCTTTTAACATATTCAATTTTAAAATCAAAAACAGATAAGATAGTTTGTCATCTTGCAAAAATTTGTTTATATGCAATATTCTTGACATCTTGAAAGGGGGAGGATCAATGTATCTACAAAATAAAGAACTTTTATTAATTCAAAAGTGTATTTACAGAGTAGAGTATACTTACAGTAGTAGACTAGGAGATGAAAGAAGGAGGGTTTATATAAGAAAAGGGTTCACCGAGGGTGCAAGAGGGAAAGAAGGAAAGAAGGAAGAAGAAGATGATCAAGGGAGTAGGTAGAAAAGTGGGCGCAGGAGAGAGGAGATGGTTTGAGGGCGATCAGGGGCGGTGCTCCACAAGTTGAGCCTGCACCCCTGTTTATAGAGCCGGACATGAAATTCGAATTTCAAAATAAAAAATACTATTCACAACTTTATACTGTTCCTAACTTTAATAACTTACAATGACATCATTGCAAGCGTTATAATTACTATACACTTTATACTATACACTATTCACAGTACATATAGTGACGTCAGGGCGTGCGTCACTTTTTCCGGATCAACTTTATCCGAGAAATCAGTTTTATTTGATCATTTCCTGAAAAATAAAGTAGATAATACATTATCTCTGTCATCATGGAGATTTATCTCCATATCAACATTTAACAAATCTTCATTAATTTCAATATCACCTATAAGAGGGGTATATCCCTGGGAATCCATAAAGTCGTCATCAGAATTAATAGGAGTGAGAGATTTCCTATTTTCTTCCTCAACTTTATCTTTCCCTTTACCTTTTATGGCTATTGTAGGAGTGTTGATAAGATCTATCTTCTCTATTTTGCTCATGCCAAAGGTAGACATGATCTGAAGACGGAATTCCTTCATAACTACTGCTTTAAGCTGCTCAGAGTTTAAATAGGGATTCAAAAATTTATAATATTGACACTTTTAATTTTAAATCAAGTTTTACTATTAAAACGATTGAAAGGACTGTTCCTTTTGATCAGAATGAAAATATTTTACAACTACTAACTGAACGAGAAGTCTTAAGGACTCAAAATCAAGATTATAAATTTTTGCATATTGGTTTAGTACATGTTGCTTTAAAACATTTAACTCTTCATGGATTAAATGTCTCTTTTATGTTAGCATTAAGAGATGCTAAATGTCTTAATTTTGATCAGTATGTAGTTATACTCCGTATATGGAGTTTTTATAATAACATGTAGAAGCAACATGATCAATTTTTACACACCAAATTAAGAGTTTAAATGACATAGCAGCTAACTTGTGCTTCCTTATTTTGTGTCATGTCATTTAAGTCCCAGTAAAAATTTCAAATAATATGTTGTCATATCATTTGAGCTCTTAATTTTGTCTCAAAAGTTAGTCAACATAACATTCCTAATATTAATTTACAAATTGTATGATGGCGTAATTAAGAATTTACACATAAATGTTGATTACAAAATAAAGAGTATTTTTCCAAAATAAATGGAAAGAATTAGTTAAACAAGCTCCTATAATTGAGGGTCAATGGATGCACATATGGAATGCCTTAGATTTTTTTTTTTTTTGGTCAAGTGGAATGCCTTAGATTAAGGCAGAAGATCCTCAGCACTTTCTTATTAAATAAAGAGAATAAATCCATAGCCTCATCTTTCTCATTCCCCAAACGTCATATCTCTCTCTCTCTCTCTCTCTCTCTCTCTCTCTCTCTCTCTCTCTCTCAAACAACACATACTAAAGATAGTACCACATCCAACCCCAGAAACTCCAATTCTTTAATGCAAATGAACAACACAATTGAGTCAACTGATGCCACAGATGATTTGGGTGGGCGAAGCAGTGGTAGTTTCGGCTTTGGCATCGGCATTTCCTTTGGACTCCTCGCAATATTAGCAATCATTACTTCTGGTTCCTACATCTGCACTCGATGGCGCAGACAGCGTAGTGCTATGAACCGTCACCCCTCCTCGCATAGAAGCTCCATAGACACCACCATCGATGATGACTCGGTCACAATTCAACAAGGACTCAACGAAGCCACCCTCCACACCTACCCCAAACTCCTCTACTCCCACGCCAAGCTCCATGAAGGCGACTCCATTACTTCAGGCTGCTCCATATGCTTGGTTGACTATAAAGACACTGACATGCTTCGTCTGTTGGCTCACTGTGGTCACCTCTTCCACCAGAACTGCATCGACCCCTGGTTAAGGTTTCACACAACGTGCCCAATCTGTCGAACCACACCAATGCCCACTCTCCTAGCAACCCCTCTTACGGAGGTCGTCCCCTCTTCAGCACCACAAAACTGATTTGATGGATTAGATTGATAAGAGAGTACGGGCTTAAACTTGCAAACCCGAGCATTTCTTTGATAATTTCTACTCGGAATTGAGTCAAACGTAAACCTCATGTGCAAGCACGCACGGATCTCACGAGGGTGATCAAATTTATCGAAAATGATAATTCTTAAAATTCGGGGATTGAGTTTTTAAGCTTTCTTCTCTATAAGCCACTTCACTTTTTTTTTAATCCATATGTGGATTCCCTGTCAGGGCGAGACCATAACAGCTCTCACGAGTTGAGGAAGCCATCTAGAGGGGTCTAAACGGAGAAACCCACAAGCGTTCCCAAATGATAACATGTTCATTTGATTCTTTGTAATATAGTTATGACATTTTAACTTGAAGAAGAGAGCTTCGTAGTTCTCATCTATCTATAGAATTGTTTCCAGACGTTTTTATATGAATTATTTTTAATGACGCTTTTTAAAATAAATTTTCAAATGACAACTAATCGGCGTTAAAAAAAAATAATGGATAGAAAATATCATTTAAAATGATATTTTTAAAAACGCTATTTTAAATAATATTTTTTACCCACTTATGATCGGCCCCCAAATTTCCCAAATCACAAGTTGTTCACCGGTTCCTGTGCCAATGATTTCATCAGAACACCCTTTGTCATTCTTGATTTGTGGGAATGTTTTGTATATTTTGCATCAGCTTGACTCCATAGGAATTATAAACGTATAGTTATTTTAGTGAAACATATTTTGAGCACGTCTATGAATGGGCATCCTCGGTATAAAATCAACACGGCAGATTTGAATGAACTCCTTCCCTAAATTGCAGAGTCACTGGCTCACGATGCATTGATTGATGATGTAGGCGACACAGTTCAGATGACCAAACCGATTCAAAATGAAAAAAGTGGAATTTTAATTTCTTCAATACCAGAAGTCCTGAGATGGCAAATAAGAGTGGTTTCTTTATGGGGCCACATGTCCGGTTTTCTACATTATCATTTGAATTCATTACCTGAGAAGCTTGTAGAGATTTACTTATCTCATCCTCCATGCAGACTTTCCTCCTCTGTGTTTGATTCTGATAATTTTGAACCTGGGGGCATTAATATAGAGGCACAGATCAGGCTTATTTCTGTGGTTTTATCTAGGTTACTGAAGACCACATGTGCACATATACCTTCTTATCGTGAAAAGTTGCATTATGCATGTAGCAGAAAGTTAAGGATGGACTGAGTACACGAACTCTTTTGTCGTTGGAAGAAATTGGTCAGTCTTAGATTTTTGTGATTTGAGAAAGTTGAGCCTGACCATAAGTGGATAGAAAATGTCATTACAAATGTCTTTTTTTACCTACTATTTTTTTCAACGAATGTTAATTATCGTTTGAACATTCATTTTAAAAAAAGTTATTAAAAACGATGCCTCTAAAAACGTTATTTTGAATGACCTTTTTAATAAAAAAATTCAATTTAAAATAATCATTTCAAATGTTGTTTTAACCCATGAAGGTATCATTTGGAATGACGTTTTTAAAATGAAATTGGACTTGAGAAATAAGTTTAAAACTGACTAAATTTGAGAATAAAATTTTTGGAGAGTCTGAATTTGGGAAAAGCTCCAATCCTAAAGTTTTAGGCAAACAACTTATGCGGTTTGCTACATATTTATAGGCACAAAAAGAAAGATTTCTTCGCCTGAAAGGCTTTTTAAAAATTAAAGAATGAGAGTCAAAACTAAAAGGGTCAAATTAGGTTTTTTATGGGAAAATTTCATCTACACCCTTTGTAATTAGGTTTAAATTTAATGATATCCTCTCCTGATTCTGAAACTTTACTGTTACCCTCTGTCAGTGTTTGTCGGGTTACAACGTTAACGGCAATTATTAATTTATAGAAATACTCTTAAATATTTTATAGGATAAATTTTATCCACAACCCCTCGTAAATAGAGTTAATTTTAACGGCATCACTTATAAATAGACTTATCTTTAACAATATCCGCTCCCGATTCTAAAATTTTAATGCACTCACTTTTAGTTCTACTATATATTAACCATTAGGTTCATCAATTTAACATTTAATTTTATCAAATTAATGTCATTTATTTAATTTAAACTAAATTAACATTTCATCTCATCAAATTAACACAAATTGAGATTTAATTTTATCAAATTAGCATTTAGTTATATTAATTTAATATTTTATTTCATCAAATTAATATTATTTCTTTAATTTAACATTAAATTATTATTTAATTTCATCAAATCAATACTAAATTGAAATTTAATTTTATTAAATTAAAATTTAATATATTAAATAGAATATTAAATTTCATTAATTTAGCATTTAATGTTATTACATTAATGTCAATTATTTAATTTAACATCAAATGAACATTCAATTTATTAAAACAATATTTAAATTTATTCAATTACCAAATTAATATTTAAATTTATCAAATTAAGACCAAATTTATTCAATTATTATTAAATTTTATCAAATAATATTTAAATTTTATATATGAAGGGTGATGTGTGAAGAGTGGTCAGGTAATTTTGTGAAGGACAGATAATAGCGGAGAAATTAGAAATGGTTGAAATTTTGACATAGATTTTATTGATTGCAATTTTATTATAGAAAAATTATTTTTAACTATAAAATTATAAAAAATCGATTATAAAACAAAATGAGTGATAATATGATTACTAATATTATAATAAAGTTAGCATGCAAAACTCTAAAATGATAAAAATTCATTAGGATAATATAATGATAGAAATCATGCTTATGTCAAACTCCTCCTCCTTTATGTTTCTGTCTCCACCAATAGTTGAAGAAGACATCAATCATATAATAATACATCACAATATATTGACATAACAAAATGGAAGAAAAAAATTTAAAAAATGTGCATAAATAAAATTAAAAAAAAAATTGCATGAAAAAATTTAAAAATCTCTAAAAGAAAAAAATTTAAAATATCTGCATGAAAAGAATAAAAAAAACTACATGAAAAAATTCAAAAACAATTGCATGAAACAAATTAAAACTATTTGCATGAAATTTTTTTTTAAAAACTACTAGAAATAAATTTTAAAAAAATTGCATGAGAAAATAAAAAATATCTGCAAGAGAAAAAAATAAAAAAAAATTGTATAAATTTTTTTAAAAAAAATCTACATGAAAAATATTTACAAATCTGCAAGAAAAAAATATTTTTTTTACCAACTTAAATAATGATTAATCACCGTGAAAAACAAGTTGAAAAAGAATGGTTGACTTCAGTTCCTTATGTCTTCCAACAATACCATATCGTTTTTGACCTTTAGCAACAACAAAGGGTATGGTATATAAAGTGGTAAAATAGTTGATGACATTTTAGTATATTTACATAAGAAAGGATAGTTTTGACATTTTTATAAAATTTACAGTCAAACCATTACTTTTTATACTGACAGAGCTACAAATTACCGTTAAGGGGTGTCTTTGATTTGAAAGTATAAACTTGAAAGGGGTACAATGAAGTTTCAGAATTAGGAGGGGGTGTCATTGAATTTAGACCTAACTAAAGGAGTGTAAATGAAAATTTTCCTTTTTTTGTTTATTTTTGAAGGAATCCAATTTTTAAAATCTTTGAAGCGGTAAAGTGTCATTAGCCTTACCAACTGCTTGGTCAGTTAGCACCTTCAGTTTAAAATTGAGTTCAATGACATATTAACCATAATTTAGAATCGAATAATTTTGTGTATTACAAATTCTACTATTTTATTTGTTTGTTTACTTATAATCTCGTGCATGAAAGTCTCACTTCCTACAAAATTTAGAAATTTGTCCCACCTACGTTGCTCTCTCTCTCTCTCTCTCTCTCTCTCTAGATGGTATCATTTCCAACCCTGCAAAACTCCAATCTTTAGAGTAAACGAACAATACATTTGAGTCCATTGGTCCCAAATATGAACTGGTTGGTCAAAAAAGTGGTAGTTTTGGCTATGACAGTGGCATTTTCTATTGGGCTCTTCATAGTAATAGCAACCATTGCAGACGTCTACCTTCTATGCTCTCGAATCCGCCGCACCATGCACCAGCACTCCTCCTCCCATAGAAGCTTCATAGACACCACCACCATCAACGATGATTCAATCACAATACGACAAGGACTCGACCAAGCCACCCTCCTCACCTACCTCAGACTACTCTACTCCCACGCCAAGCTCCATGAAGGCGATTCCATTGTTTCAGTCTGCTCTATATGCTTGGTTGACTACAGAGACACTGACATGCTTTGTCTGTTGCCTTACTGTGGCCACCTCTTCCACCAGAAGTGCGTCGACCTGTGGTTAAGGCTTCATCCAACGTGCCCAATCTGTCGAACGCACCAATTCAAGGTCCCATATACAGAAGCACAACAAAACTGATTTAATGGATTAGGCAAGTGTATGGGCTTCAACATGCAAACACAATCATTTCTTTGGCTTCTGTCGGGTTCAAATTTCTTCAATTTAGATTCTTTTGATTACGAAAAAATTGAATCGTAATTAATGGGTATGTAAACCTCGTGCAAGTATACGCGCATCTCAACACAAATTTATCAGCCAAGTTTGGAGAAAATCTTGTGCAGGTGGCTTTTGGAAGGCAAATTTTAGTCAAGTTCCATAATCTGCAGTTAAATTCGTTGAGTTCCATTAGGCCTCGTTAAGAGCCATTGAAGATTGAAGGGTAAATTACACTTTACCCCTGAAACTATTACCCTTATTTCACTTTTTACCTTCAATTATAAAATTTTTCATATTACACCATAGAGTATCAATTTTGTTTCATGTCACCATAATAGATAATAGCTATCAATTTTTTGACGACAAATGCGCATGTAAATGAACTGTATTGACAGTAAGCAACTGTCTATTGCATATGTACAGGTCAAAAATTAAGAAAAATATCCATCCATGATTTTGTCCTTCCTAAACTTAAAATTTTCTTCCTCTAGCCTACCTTCTTTTTTTTCCAGCAACCATTTGGTTGCAAAAGAGGTAAAATAAAGTGGTACTAAATTCTTTGTGATTTTCCTCCCCCTTTTGACAGATTTTAAAGTTTGTTGCTATCTATTAGAGTGATATGAAATAAAATTGATACTTTACGTTATAATGCGAAAAATTATATAGTTGAGGGTACAAAGTGAAACAAAGATAATTATTCAAGAGAATAAAATATAATTTATTCAAGATTAAATTTGTGAAAATATATATTGATCACATACAACAATTGTTGCTGGCCAAAAGTAATTTCCAAAATTCAATGTTCAAGAATTCAGCAAGTTCCTTTGCAACAATCAATTTGGTAGGATAGGTAGGCAAGATGTGTAAAGTCTCATAGCAGGTAGTCAATTTGTATATGTCATTATTGGGTACTCATTATAGTTGTCACCTTCTTTGTAGAGTTGGATGGGGAACCCTCACCTTCTTTGTAGAGTTGGATGGGGAACCCTCACCTTCTTTGTAGAGTTGGATGGTGAACCCTCACTATAAATATGTGTTTTAAGATTATATTTTATAGTTGAAACCAAGAGTCAAATACAATAAAGAGAGTTTTGTTTCATTTTGGTCTACCGTAGCAACTCATTATATCTGATCAAATTTATTAATTTGTCTATCTTTCGAAATATAATAATGTTACATTGACTAAAATTAGGGATCAAAAAGAGTGACCAAATAATATGGCGGCTGACATGGACGGCTGATGAGGCTCCAAGTCAACCACTATGTCATTTGATTAATTTTTTTGGTCCTTAATTTTAGTCAGTGCACCATTATTTTTCCAAAATTAAGGACCAAAAAGAGTGATCAAATGACGTGGAGCCTTATCAGTTTTCCGCGTCAGCAGCCATGTCATTTGGTCACTCTTTTTGATTCTTAATTTTGGTTGATGTAACATTATTGTTCAAAATATCTTATTTTTTTATCCAAGTGAATACGGACTTTTAGAGTTTGATTTTTCAGACACTTCCAAGTATAGCAACAACTAATTTCTCACCACTCATACTCCAAGTATTTACCAGAGAAAATTATGATTTAAAAAAAATTAAAATGAAGACTTTGTTATGTTCAAAAGTCTCTAAACACAACCGAAGTTGGTTATACGGAGTCTAAAGACAAAGGAGACTTAAGCAACTATCGTACAAAGCATGTTAGAGGACTCCTCTTAATTCAACAAGTAGAATCTAGTTTTTATGTTCATTCAACAAGTAGGTGATACCCTAACCAAGGGCGACTCTACTACACGATTTGCATAACTCATGGCCTAGCTTCTGGTATGTCGTCGTGGTCGTCGTCCCCCCCCCTTTCCCAAAAAAAAAAGAAAAAAGCTTGCGGGAGAGTGTTAGAGCATAGCAGAAATCACTCAAGAAATCCTTCAGCTCATTCGCCAATCTTTTCTCCTCTGAATCAACAATTAATGAATAACTCCTTAAATTATGGGATCCTCTGTTTAGCCTGTGTAATCCCTTGAATGATGGGATCCTTGATCAACCTTCATGTATATAATTCAACTAGCTGAGTATACGTATTGTATCATATATTGTTCTAATTTCAGAAAATACATCCTCTTCTTTTTGGCTCAAGCCAATGTCCACGGAAAAATACTACAATAAAAGTTCATTATTAACTAGGGAGATGACACAAAGTCCACTCAAACCAAGATGAGGAACCCACGTTTCGATAGTAGAACTGGGGTCTACAGCGATTACGAATTAAGTGACATGATACAATCAAACTACATATGATCAGATAATGATCCTATTGGATAGTGTCCTTTCTTAGAAGATTTTGGAATTAGAGCCACTATTCATCAAAACCAACTTTTTCCTAATAGTTTATGTCGTAGGACGTCTTCTATACTGTACTTGAGGTGGTTCACATGCCATATTGAAGTAAAAAATTGAATATATTTACATAATGTGCTTTATGAATCAAAACAATGGGTAAATGTGATAACTATAAGAAATAATATGAGTACAATTTGATTAGAAATATATTAGCGGTAACTCATGCTATGCATGGGCAACTAACATAAATTCCATGCTGATTATGCTTAGGAGAAGTAATCTCCATAGCCAGAATATTAGTTGATGATACCTCAAGCAAGCTCTAGCTGTGAGCTCAGGTTAGGAAAGACACGGGAAACTCAGAGAGCCAGGGGTAGAGCTCCCCTTGAGGAGATCGCAACAAAACCGACCAAGAAACAGTTGGTTGACTGTGGAAATTGAGCCCAATGCATGAAACTCTCAACCAACCAAGATTCTCTCCTAAAATCAAGGAGGATCCCATAGATAATTGACAAAGATCTCGGCTGAAATCTCACAGAATAGAGAGCAGCCTTATAAATACTATGTAACGCCTCATCGAGAGAAAAAGACGCTAGAAAAACCCTAATTAGACCACACATTGTACGAAAATACATTAGAGTAATCAATAGAGAAAAGGAGCAAGAACCTCCATTTGAGAGTGGATTAGCTGAGCTCCAGAGCCGGTGAACCACTATATTCCAACTGTGCAAACTCCCTAACCCCCTAAGAAACACTTCATCACTGTCATTATAAGATTGGCAGCCTAGATTCTCCTTTGGTCCCCGTGCATTCTATTCACCCACGTTAGTTTCCTCAGCACTCTGTTCACCCATGCTAGTTTGCACCATCAGTTTGGCGCCGTCTGTGGGAACAATTGTTCTTGCTACAAATAAGCTGATTTTTCAGTGACTGATGGTATCAACACGAAATATGAGCAGAAGCCAAACAAACCCACCTCGGATGCAAGATCAACAGGGAGCCACCAATGGCAAACAGCCCAAGAACATCCTAGAAACTGATTCTCCCATGGGGAATCTCTCCAAAAATAACAAGATGAAGGCCTTTCACCTTGTCAATCAGCGCTTGATAAAGTAAAATGAAGAGCTCTTGAAGCTCTTACAGTGCCCATAGGAGGCACGTCCGACCCAAGAAGGTCAAAACAGTCCCCGTCATAGGAATCAACAACACCTTGATTCACTCAGAGAAGACAACGAAGGAGGGGAGAACAACCAGACCTTGGGACAGGTTCCCCAACTACCCCCTAGGAATGGCCAAAATGAGGAAGTACAAAGTCAAAGCCATGAAGGTGAAAAGAATGATGTCTTCCCTTATCAGTAGGAGAGAAGGGAACAATATTGGGAGCAACGCTTCAAGGCTATCCAACAGGAGCTTAGCCACATGAAGGAAGCGGTTAGAAGTAAAGCTCCAGTTACAATGGACGCCTTGGTGCAACAAACTGAATCTCCATTCACACCTGGGGTGTTGCCTTTTTCCCTCTCGCCAAAGTTCAGGATACCACAAATAGAGTCCTTTGATGGAACCAGGAATCCCATGGACCACCTCAATACTTATAAGAACTAGATGGAGTTGCACGGGTACCAGGACCCCGTACGCTGTCGAGCCTTTGCCATCACTTTAAAGGGTTCAACCTTGGCGTGGTTCAACAGGCTCCCCCCGGCCTCAATCTCTTCCTTCAAAGAGTTTTCCATTTCTTTTGTATCCTACTTCATAGGGGCTCAGACATATAGAAAGCCGAGCTATCACCTTTTGAATGTGAAACAGGGACCTCAAGAAAATCTCAGGTCTTATGTCCAAAGATTTAATTCGGAATCGTTAAAGGTGGATATCCCAGACGAAAAGTTTGCCATCATTGCTTTCATAGCTGGTCTGGGGTGCAATTTAAAGATTTGATGTTCTCCATATCAAAAAATCCCCAAGCAAGCATGGTCGAGGTGCTTGCCAAAGCAGAGAAATACATAAACGGCGAAGAAGCTCTTCTTTCTAAGGTGGGGAGCGCTTTCGCACATAGAGATAAGGGAAAGGAAAAGAAAAAGAGGAATCGAAGTCCCAAGAGAGAGAGGGAAAGAAACAGATCTCCAAGGAGAGATAGATCTCCTAGAAGAGATAAAGAACAATCCCCCAAAAGAAGGGGGAACGTTAGGGACCGCTTAGGACCCCCGCAGCCTGAACTACAGCCAAGGTATGCACCTCAACAATATACCCTTCTCACTGCAATAGTATCTCAGATCCTATACGAGGTGCAGAATGAGAAATTTCTAAGGTAGCCTCCACGAATGAAGGCAGATCCAACTAAAAGAGACCCTACGAAGTATTGCGAGTATTATGAGGAACATGACCATCACACCGATTGCATTCAGCTAAAGAAAGAGATTGAGTTCTTGATCCAGAGAGGGTAGTTACGACGATTTGTCACCCATGACAACCAGAACAAGGCTCCACCACCACCGGCACCATAGCAGCAAGCCCTTGCACAACACCAACAACCCTTAGGGAAG